TTGGGATGCGGTCGTATAGAGATTGGTCCCGAGTCACCAAAGGAGGAGCGTGACCACCTAAGTGTGAAAAGTCAGGGCAAAACGATTCATTGTCTGCGCACTCATATCGAGAAATTGCGAGAAACTTGTGCGAAGCAAGTGTTACGTGTGGCCGAACTCCAATCGGACGACTATCACCTTGATCTACCACTCTATTATGCCTGCCGGGAAGATCGAGAACGCCTGTGCCCCAGTGTTGAATCTGGAGGTGGACTAGTTTATGTCTGTCTGGACAACAACAAGTATAATCCACTGATGTCCAAAGAATGCCGATCAATGATCACTGAAAGGTACTTCTGCGTTTGAAAATTTGGGTTTCATGAGTTTTTTCACGTTCGGTTTTCCTCTTTTTCCTTTTTTCTATCAACAGGTAGTATCAGCTGGTCGCTTGTCTTCCTTGTTAGTTTAGTGCGCACTAGCTAATCTTAGCTTGGTGCTGGTATTCCTCTCACTAAGGTGTGTAGGACACGGGGTTTGAGTGATCTGCGGGTTTCATAAAAGCTTCGATCTTGGCTCGGTTCCGGTCTCTCCACAACACAAGACAGCATCGGCTTAAGCCGATGGGCTTTCAATCATCCCACTTGATGACCATTTGCACTCATCCACATTTTCAAGCTGCATGAATGTTCGTCCAGACGTAATGGCACGGGATGCATGGAAAAGCCTCAACGACAAGCTATCAGTGTGAGGCAATCGGAGATCATTGATGTGAGAAAGTTCTCTTGATTTGAAGGTTACGAGGTAGGCTATAATGCAGCGAATACGTAGGTTGCAAAAAAGTATGAGTACATGTGAACTGAAGACCTAGGAACTACTTCGTTCAAGACGGCACCTATTTAGAGCATTGAAAGGCAGTTATTTCACCGGCTATTTTATGGAGCGATGTCCCCGTATTCCATACTACTAAATGCGACTAATTGATTCCGGATAAATTGAAGTTAGTTAAGATTTCCGCGTACTCAGGCGCAACTTATCTCCTAGCTAGGTGCATCGTTCAGCTGTAGCACCCTTTCGGTGCCTAATGCCATGCCACATTTAGAGCATTGAAAGGCAGTTATTTCACCGGCTATTTTATGGAGCGATGTCCCCGTATTCCATACTACTAAATGCGACTAATTGATTCCGGATAAATTGAAGTTAGTTAAGATTTCCGCGTACTCAGGCGCAACTTATCTCCTAGCTAGGTGCATCGTTCAGCTGTAGCGCTCTTTCGGTGCCTAATTGCCATGCCACCCAGAGGAAGCACGAGGGCTGGGATACTGCCAGGTTGCCCGAGCATAGACAGGGTAAGTCGAGAGGCAGAGGTCGGATTCGAACCACGGACCTTTCGGTCAGTAAATTCGCGCTCTAACCACTTGGGCCATCTCGCCCAGAACATCGGTGTCATGCCCGCCACTGTTGATGGCTCCACTAGTCTTTGTTTGCTGTCTTGCAATTTTACGACCTTAAAGAAGGTGACAGGACGTGGGAGCCCACAATTACTTTGATTAAAATTACTATTGATTGAGGCTATGTTGTAACTGTGTTGGCTTTACACCAAGAACAGCAACAAGGCAGGAGACTTCCAGGGAAACAGTCAGTAATATACATGGCTAGATTCAAATGACTGCACAAATTTTCAAGCCGCTTCCCATGTGCAACCCGGGGGTTGACCATCTGCAAACCCTCTTTTGACAGATATCTTCAGTTTTCTCGGTTTATTTCAGCTAAAAGGCGTATTCCAAAGTACACTGATCCGGCCTTTGCATATCCGCTCACTGAGGGCATGACGGTCACACTTTGGAATTTGTTTGTGCGATATAGAAGATAGTGAAGTATCTACGCATCGAAGGTAATAGCTTTGACGCCTCATCTTCATGGGCACTAGCCATTCATTTGTCTCTTCCGAGGTCCCCATCCGGGTATACGGCAGTTACCAACGTGATTGAGTTAAATAGCAAAAGCGCTCCCGCTTCGTAGGTTCATTCTGTCCTTTCCATGTTTCTTTTAGTACAACTCTTGTAGTGAGAAGAAAAATTATAATTCTAACCTTGCACAAGTATTTTGAGGAGCCCACATCACCAAACTCTCAATTGCACAGTCTGGCAACAAGAATGCCAGAATAATTTGGAAGCCAGATATTTCGGTATTTGCGCAAAGAGCAGGAAGAATCATGTGACCAGTTCCGTCATTCGAATTCCACAAGTTGCTTCGTGCTTCTTTCTTAGAACCCTACCCTTCTAGCCGATTTCATTTTGTCCGCCTCGTTGTTTGTATCAACCTGACTTGAACACGCAACCACAAATTTCAAGATGTTTAACGCATGCGCGAGCCGAAATAGTTTATTTTACTGGATGCTCTCCATATTGAAGGAATTCGCTGCCCTGAGCACTCCCCCCGACCTCTGATTAACTTGATGCTAACGAACTTCAAACGTGATCGTGCTACATTGTTCGCCAAAGACCTGCAGAGGCCAAGCCTCATCATCCTACACCAAAGCGGCTCCCAGCCTAGTCTTTTTCACAAAACTCTTGATATCGGAACTAGTAGCGTACCAATCAATAATCGTAGTGAACGCAGGTAATGCTTTACCATGGAAGTTAGTCTACAGCGTTTTGGTGCCAAACAAAATGTAATTGGGATCTAGTAGCCAGACTGCCGTAAAGTTTTTTGGTTGACGTTGTCAAAAGTACTTGTCAGGCTAGGACCAGTTACCCTTCGTTGTCGTCAGATGCGGTGACTTCAGACATTTGCTTATGAAAGAAGAAATAGCCAGTTCGTCTTTTCCTAGCTTGATCTTTTTGAAGAATGAAAGGCTTTAAGAGCCAGTACCTTCATGTTTATCTTACTAATGAACTGATGGTCTTGCTTTGGACTCACCGGTTTTCCCATCAAAGTAATCTTTTTTGGTGCTTATTAGAATACAGATGCTGCGCGCCTTTGCACACCCACTAAAGTGTGCCTGAGATACGTGAATGACACGTCCGTTCTCTTGAGAAAACCTACTTGCGGACGACTTTCCGTGTAACCCTAACTCATTTAAATTTCATCAGGAAATGGGACAAATCCTATAAATTCTAAAAATAACGGCCAATTTAGGAACCGCCACCATCCAGTCAGAGCCACCTGGATTGTGCCTCTGACCATCCGTTGTGCACGAAACAAGCACTGATTCAGCGAGCAAAACAAACCTGGTTATCTATCACTAACCGACAGCGAAGTCAGCCACTCCACCTTAGCTCTGAAAAACAATAAGTACCCTACGGAGCTAACTAATGTAATTCCGCAACCGGCTGGACCAGGTGGAATTTATCCCACGGCACTAATTGCGTTCCGATACTATATATCCGAAATTAACCATCATGTTTTCGAAGCTCGTCACGTTTCACCTGGACAGCTCGCTTCGCATACAGTTGGTTCGGACGAATTGTCTCTTCAGACCTGGAGACCTAACCTACTGTGTCCGCAAGGTTGTATGCAACAGGAAAAACAGCGGGCACGTTGGTCAAACCAGCAAACAACTGTAAAGTCAAGTCAATCAATACAAACGACACTCTCAGGCCGCTCCAGTGAATTACAACGACTGTGACTCAGTTATAGAGGTCCATGCATTAACTGAGGGTTATCAGGTCAACTTGATGGTCCACACGGGACCTTAGTATACACGCACACCGCTGCTTTGCTGAATCCATAGCAATCTATCTGACCCCATCATGTGTCAACAGGCCCAACAGTGTCAAACTGTCAGTCATCTGCTCCTAAGTGCTGCACCACACAAATATGACGATTGGCATGTGACCCTAGAACGTGAAATATCAACCTTGGAAGTCTGAGAACACACCAGAAACGACCGCCTTGGCATCACATTAAGTGGTTTCTGGTCCTTCTTTGTTTTATTTTTAATTTTCGCTTTGATGGCCAAGACTTTAGACGATTTCAATAACAAACTTCCTGTACAGCTCCCAATGTTTTCATTATCCACCAACGACTCATCCGTATTCGTTTCGGTGGTGAGGTATCCACACATCTACTCCATTTTCAAATCCGTCATAATTCTAACAACACTAGGCCCATATAATAATAGGAACATGTTTAGCTCTGAATAAGCTAGTGGCAGAGCCGTACAATCCAGGTATTGTGTATTATCAGTCCAGTCAGGTGTGCTGATCGATACAGAACCTGGCAAATGGCATGCCTACGCTGCTGGATATTTTCAACTTGTTGAACGCTGCACTTCTATGGTTCCATGAGTCAGTTGACCAAAAGGGGAAAGGAAGGACAAATAGCCACACGACGAACAAAACTTCCGTCTGAGAAGCCGTCAATCGATGTTCTGGTCAATACTTGATGTGGTTTCTGTGCTTGAAAGATGAGTGGCGCTATATCCTGTCTGATTGTGAACTAATCCCCCTACTGATCAGTCGCTTGCAGCCTAACGACTAACTCATCATCATCATCATCGACAGCATGACATCAGTGTTCAACACCGATGCTTCATTGTTCAGACTGCTTGCCGAAAAGTCACGGTTTCGAAGCCCCCTGGAGTTTCGTGAGGTGCTCATCTCTGACGATTCCCAAATAACGATGAAACAGTGACTCTCAGTTTTTCGGCATAAATCGGCTTCATTTGCAGGACGAAATCCACAGCAAAATCTACCGAATATCCCAACACTCAACAAAAACCGGTGGTCTGCCGAAATAACTACAGCAAACGCTACAGTTCATTGCAGGACGCGGTACTGCTTGAACTGAATAGTACTCAAACAAGGCATGTATGCCTAAGACAAAATATGATGTAAAGATCATCCCCACTTAGTTGTTATATTAAGTAGGAAGAACCGAATTTTTCACTAACCAGTAGGGGACAGTGGAACTACTGTAAGCGAAAAGAGACCCAATTAGCCTCTCACCTACAGGATGTGTGCGTTTCTGTGAGAAAAGCCCCTCTTAGATATTTTCCCAGAATGAGTTCGACGCCTGGGAAGTCCGTGTGACAAGGGTCTTCTCCGAATTTGAACAGAAAAGCTGATAATCTCTAGCGCTGATAAGTACCCGAGTTTCGGTCAACGTTATGACCTACTTGGACGCCAAATTGTATGAAATTGGTGAAGTACACTCACTAACGCACTGCTTTGCTGCTACTGGGGAATTCATCTTACTGTCTCTTCAGTATAGCATTGGGCTCTCTGTCGACTCTGTCGTTTTCACTCGGGTATTCCTTTATTCATAGTGTCATCTTGATGCTACTAGCTATGTCGTTCTATGTTTCTTCAAACGTACAACGGATTCCAAAGAGCTCCGTTGCCTTCTTTGTTCGTCAGTATTTCAATGAGTACCGAGGTTTCCCACGAAAGCTCTATGCGCCGCTCATTCCACGCATGCCGCTCTGACTAGAGCTGTTTCATCTTCAACTCGCTTCACGTTTAAACTTTTACCCACACGTGTGTTCAAAAGCTGCAAACTCAAGTATATTGCTAGTGGTTCTCAGTAATCGTCTGTTACATAATGTCCTTGTTATGATGTCAAGCTTATGTGCTCTCCCCCAACTGCAAACTTGTTCTTTGTACCGCTGAAAGTTCACCCTCCAGGTGCGTGGAATCAATCATTGACTTGATTGTTATCATCTAAGTGGTTTCTTTCCCACTGGACGACAGTCTAGCCTACTAACAAGCAGCTCCAGGGTCCTAGTTGTTCTAATGTTTTTTGTACGTCATCTTTCAGAGTTGCTGGTTTGACGAGCACCGGCTAGATCAAGCTTTTAAGGGCCAATTTCTGATCGCAAACTGTGTTTTTCACTCTAGCCTGTTCCTAAAGGAGTTAAATTGTCTACTAATGCATACACCTTTGGGTCGCATGATTAGTTTGATCAGAATGAGACTGTGATCGTCGGGAAGCATTGAAAATCGAATGTAAACTTTGACGAGTAAACCTAATTGAGGTATTCAGAAGTTCGAACATGTTCGCATCTAACAGTTGATCGGTAGTCTGTTCGCTGAGCTGGTCGATTTGATTGCGGCCGAATTGCCCAGCTCGGCGAACAAACCAACAACCATCTACGCTACCTGAGCCACCAACATTTCTTCCCATAGAATATCGAACAGTTTGTTAAGACCGACTGATTGCCCAAGGTAAGACAAGGCCAGAATCATCTCGTTCCTCTTCTAAAGGCCCTTTTTCATTTGTAGGAGAATGATTTGCCAAGTAGGTAATTTTTATTGAGTTGTCGCTTGATTTATCAATTCTACCTGTAGGTAGAAGAGTCATTATTGTTTGTGTTCACATCAGTGTCTGAACAGCTCTCCTCCCCTCATGACACAGTTATTTTGTTTCATCCATATCAAACCGAAGGCAAGCAAGCACATCGGCGACATTTCAGGAGAGAGGCTAAACGAGTGATGCTCATATGAAAGCTGCGAACACCCTAACGACCTACAACCGCTCGTTCTCATTTCTTCCTGTTTTTTCTTTTTGATTACTTCGCAACCGCAAGCTTTTCTTGGCTGTCGTTTCTCCAATCTGGGAAATGAATCACTTTCGGTTGGTGTGCCTCCATATAACTGTCCACTAATCTGAATGCTACCCACATACTGACCTGTGTCATACCGATCACTTCTGTTAGACTCATACCTGATTAATTTTTCAACCAAGGTAATTGCTCACTGTCACATTGTTACCCTGTTTCTCTTCACAGACAACAACTCCGTGCTTTGGATTATTTTGTTGATTTCCGTCTCGCCAAAGCCTGTGCTGCTGATCTAAAAAAAGCCGGTTGTGGTGCGACGGACAGATCTCGGTCCGATGCGACGGTGTCTCGAATGATGCTTTGCCTCGAAGCAGTTGAGAAACCGCATTTCTCGGTAGAAGCGAACCAAGTGATAAAACCAGGACAGTTGGACGCTGCGTGTAAAGATGAGATGCTCAAGTTAAGACAGGAAATGCTAGATGATTATCGCGTAAGTGTGCCCATTTTTCTTCTCCGACTCTTATCTGCTTTCTGGTAAGCCGGACAGTCTTTTAAGAGATACATCCCTCAAATGTTCCTAGTGTTGACCCGAGAAGAAGCAACTGGAAAAGCATTTTTTTGAATTGGAACGATCACGTGCTTCTTCCTACCTCCGAAGCTCCTTGGGAGACTAGAAGACGTGATGCCGCCATGATCCCCTGAGCATGTGGTCGCCGCCATGCCGGAAGAACTTATTACAACTCTAAGTGGTCTTTGTCATCACGAATAGACTGCAACTTATCGTGTTGTAACGGTTTGTGTGCCTCAGCGACCCATCGAGAAACACTCGCAGAGCTCCCTCATCTTGCAGGTTAGAGATCTGACAAACAGTTTCCTGGTCCCTACATGGTGGCGGTTGGGAAATATGTGGCGACCTTTTCTTTAAAAATGGCAATGCACCTGCATTTCTCGCCAGACACTACTGCCTTGGTGATCAGGCCTTTAAGCCAAAGGCTGTGCTCGAGGACCTTAATTGCCCTCTTGTCTAGGTCTGGGCCACCTAGCGGCATCTCAGTCCACGTACAACCATGAATTGCGCGCCTACAAATAGTCACATGCGACATCGTCGTAGCGTGTTGCCATGTTGCTTACGGCAGAACGGATAAGCGAAGCAGACCGCTGCTGACGTCTCTCTTCTCCCTCGTTCACATACTTTTTCCTCCCCCTTCCTTCCCATCCCATTAATAACTTTCTCCTTGTCGGCCCATCATTTGAGCATCATGACTCCGTTCGTCCTGCATCGGTTTTTGCGGCAACATCTGCACGTTATCTGGCGCCAAAACCCTCACGCACCTCGAAATCAATCTCTAAGCCTCGACGCCGTCTATCTGGTCGCTCTGAATCAAGCATGACTACAAGCCACTGTTGCTCTCACACTGAACTCACTTGATATTGATGTGTGCTGTATAGCAGAAGCAGGAATTCAGAATGCAAGCACAGTGGTTGAACTAACTGCCTCATCGCTCTCCACTCGATTCCGGCTGCACAACCCCAGCGATCCAGAGGCCGCTTCAGCAGAATGGGCGGAGGTTGTTACCGTCTTAAGTCACCAGTCGGAAGGATTTTCGCTCGACTGGATACCCGTTGATAGTCGCCTCTGTCCAGATTCTCCGGCAACGTCCGTGAAGGGGTCTCACAACCAGGACTTTGGTCGTCACCTGTTTGTCGTGTTGTATCGAGCTAGCAACTCCGATATCTTGCTGGTTGCCGGAGATCTGAATGCACAACTGGACAGCCTTAGCGCATCTGAGACTCAGTTAGGTGGCCGACATGGATTGCACTCAGTACGCACGGTCAACGGTGAATGATCGCTTCAGTTGTATGCTGACCGCTGGCTGTTTTTGTACTGTGCTAACTTCCGAACTAACTGAAGTCGTCTGGCCACATGGTATCCCAAATTGGTCAGATTACCATCAGTTACCGATGGCACAGATCAATAGCTGACTGCCGCTCGTTTTGAAACATATATGTGGATTTCTATGGGGCATGAGACCGAACCGAAAACCACCTATTTTGTAGCACTGGTAGACGTGCCTTGAACACAGCACAAACGCTTCATGACAGCTGACACCTCTGGTCCACAGTTGTCCTAATCTCCATCCAAGCAGGAAAGTTATGGACTTTGATATTTAAGGTGTTACACTGTTGACCCATTCAGGTAATATGGCTATAGGTATATGTTCTGAATGTGCGTCGGTTTCTTCGACTAAACTAAGAATACTGTCCCGACCCTCCTCACCGTATCAGTGCAAAAAATAGATAATTCATTCGGCATGCCACTGGTATTCCATTGATTACCGAGTGTTTTTTAGGCAGCTTCAAATCATATGCATGTCAGAATCCTGTCAGCTGAAAGAACTGGTTCTCTTATTGCACTGCTTGTGACACACCTTCGTAACACCTCGGTACAACCCCCTGGAAATGCGCATCAATATAAAGCCGGTGTATAATGCTGCAGCTCATTTCTGTGTGTTCTATTCAAGTTTGTTACAAGGTCTTGTTTTAAGAAGCGGCTCCCATCATATACAGCGTATAGATGACCTTGTTGGATGACTTTGTTGTTGACCTTGTTGCCCGCGGACTAACCTGCTTCGTTTTCTACCGCCTAACCATCTTAAGCGGCAGTGTGCCGTTTGTATACTATAAGTATAGATGTCGAAAAAATTTATGGTGGCTCATGCTGTCTGGAGGTCCGTTGTTCTGTTTGCCAAGCTAGACAATTTGGCTGTTAACGGTACATCACTAACCGAGCTTATATCAGCACATGGTGCACCAGCGCCGTGTCGTTCCTAGGCGATGCGTCGGACCGTTGATCTGCCACGCACTGATGATATCATATAGGGCGGTAATGAAACATGTGCAACCAATCTTTTCAATGGATAGAGTAACAGTCGTCATTGTTGGCCGTATCGTGCAAGCCCTAACCAGAATCGCTCGATCAAGGACACATTGTCACTAGAGTCCTAGTCGAAATACCAAATTTTTCTCGATGATTTCGCAAAGAATACGCATCTGAGTTTCACGCATCTGTTCGGAAAGTTTGCTGATAACATGCTCACTCAAGCAACGTTCTCATCGGATCCCAATTAAAATGCACCGCTAGTCAGCCATCGATCCACCTCATATCTATCTTGGTTGTTTATATAGAAATGTGTGTTTATGTGCGTGTTTATTCGCTCACAGTGACAACTTTCTAACACACCGAATAGCTTTGTGTTGTTTATACCATTAGCCATCACGACACATCGCCGAATCAGGGTCTAAATAATTACAGTGCCTGGTTGTCGCCCATACGCGTTGGTTTGACATTTGCCTGTTCAAATCAGTGAACTTGAGCTATGTTACATCTCCCATAACTATGCATGTCAGATTCAAGTCAGCATCGACATCATCACCGAAAGCAACACACCAGTAGTGAATTTGCATATTACTTTCCATACGAACTTGGGGAAAGAACGTCGTAGCAGAGTTGAAACGAAGTGGGGCGGGGAGTGAGAGGTAGATCTATCATGTCCTTACAAAAAACGATCGACAACCTCTTCGAATGAGAACAAAATAAATACCTATGAGCATAATCATCACTTGTGTTCTTTTTCGTATGGAGATGCTATTCGGCTCGTCCCAATTGTGTGTGACGGATACAAATCAGTAAGACAGATACTAACTGAAAACGTCACTCGAAGAGAGTGAGTTGAACTGAAACCGAAAGTTCATTTGCTGTTGTGAGAGTTAAACTCACACATCAAAGGCTAAATGTCTTACATTCAATATGCAGGGCTTCGTCTCAGCTCGATAGTGAATATCACCAGACAGTCAGCTGAGTACTCAACCTTTTGTCGGTGGGAATATTTTATGGATTCCTGCATGCCTTTACCTTTCGGTGTTTCCTAGGTCCGCCGCACCTACCGTACATCTTACAATGTAGGCATTTTTCACTTATATTCTAAATGGGATGTTATTGCTTGGTAATACCCGAAGGAAAGAACTGTGTCACTTTGAATTCATTCTTGTTCCGAACATTCAGCAAAACAATCCCAATCCCTTTACGAATCCTTCCGCCCGTAGCTCTCTCCGAACCTCATCTCCCACTGCCAAACCACCATTGAGCGCCACTGTGCTTCGAAAAAGCATGGACGTGGAACAATGCTTCATTGTCTTGCTCACCTGATACGAAGCTACACTTCTGAACGTCCACCGATCGAATGTGAGAAGGCTGTATACGAGCTTGTTAAAGTGAGTTTTTTTAACTAAATGTTCTGCCTACTTGCTTCTCATACACATTGTGCACCGTGTCCTAGGTGAAACTTGATAGGACCCCTCACAACGAAAAGAGGCGCAAGTTCGATAGTTTCTACCTCAAACTCACAAGTACTTTTTTATCTCGCCTGTTCTATGAACAAATAACTGGAAATAGGCGTAAACACAGTTTTATTCGTTGCCACACCCGAAGTCTCGTCGAGTTTCAGGATTTTCATATTGAGTTTTTCCGCTCCAAATAATATCTTTCTAGGGAAAGAACACATAAGTTGGCTCTGGCTGACAGTCCTGTGCCGTTTTAGGTACAAATGCAGCCCTCTGGTGAGGGTTGTGAAAGAAATCCTCTTGATCTGATTACCTTTCACCCACGAAGAATGAGCTAACTTCTTAGCCCTCTCCGATATCCGTTTTCTGTGCTTTATCATCGCACGAAGAAACAAATATCTCTCGTTCAGATTTAACACTATCTTGTATAGCACTACTGTGCTACCCGAACTAAATGCAAGAGCAGAGATACCAAGCTATCTCAAGCGGGATATAATTTGCNCCTCAAACTCACAAGTACTTTTTTATCTCGCCTGTTCTATGAACAAATAACTGGAAATAGGCGTAAACACAGTTTTATTCGTTGCCACACCCGAAGTCTCGTCGAGTTTCAGGATTTTCATATTGAGTTTTTCCGCTCCAAATAATATCTTTCTAGGGAAAGAACACATAAGTTGGCTCTGACTGACAGTCCTGTGCCGTTTTAGGTACAAATGCAGCCCTCTGGTGAGGGTTGTGAAAGAAATCCTCTTGATCTGATTACCTTTCACCCACGAAGAATGAGCTAACTTCTTAGCCCTCTCCGATATCCGTTTTCTGTGCTTTATCATCGCACGAAGAAACAAATATCTCTCGTTCAGATTTAACACTATCTTGTATAGCACTACTGTGCTACCCGAACTAAATGCAAGAGCAGAGATACCAAGCTATCTCAAGCGGGATATAATTTGCCCGCGGTACAGTCTGTCGCCGCTGGCCCCAACCGTAAGCTGTTCCGTCACACTGGCGCACTCAAAGGAGAGCGTCAGAGGCACACTGAGGGCCGATTAATCAGCTAAAGGGCACACGTTACATGCTAACGGGTCGTTTAAATTGAATGTCCTATGGTTTGATGCCATGGCTGCGATGGATCCGCAATATCCACTTTCGTATCTCATTTCCCTAATTTTCTTAACGCCGTGAACTCCTAAATAGTTGATGCTCCTCCAGTACATTAGAGGTGACAAAACCGGCGATGGTTGAGATGAGATTCTCGTGCGGTTTTCACTGTCTTTTGTACGACACACAATCCAGCGGGATTAAAATGGCTGTTGGACGGAACCGTTGTGTGGGCCGTTTAGCGTAGAGTTGGTCTCATCCGCCCGATTCTCCACAGTGGTGTTCGAATGCTTGCCCTTGATGAATGTCTTCGATCAAAGACACGTAGCAATCCGGCTTGTCCTATACATACATGGATTGCACATGCTTGAAATTACGGGGTAGGGCCATGAACTTTAACGTATTTCGGTTTGGCACAAAACTATCGGTGTGTCGTTCAACTTGTACACAGTTCTATCCGCAGCTGTATCACAGGAAATTCATAGTGGCGTTTTGTTTACAGCCAGTCCATTGTACAAAACACTGATTCGTCCACACCAAACGACAACGTGATTAGTTGGCCTACTAACAATGGCATATCCCGTTGATCGGTTCCCGAAAAATTAGACCACACTTAGCCCAACAACGCTTTTTGTCGTCACCCCGTAATAATTTCCCCCATCGGAATCCAAACCCTTCTTTAAAGAAAGCTTTCTGCGCTTTTGACAGCCATTCTATGTGTTTCTGGTTTTTGTTTTTTTATCCGTGACTAATATTGGTCCCAATTACTACGATCTGTAGGTGTGATTATTGCCACTTCTCTTACAGGTCCTTGCTGGAAAGGTACATTCCGACACCTCTGTAACTCTTCACCAAGCCGTCAACCTCGATTCTTGTATGTTTCAATGGGAATATTTTTATGGGGTCATCAAACAGTTGGTTGTGACGAGAATCTCACCTTGCTCCTCGAGTAACACTCACTAGGGTTCAAAAGCTCGTAATCGATTTTTGCATCCCAACAATAACGTTGTACTGTAGTCAGGTGTTTTGATGAGTCTCAAACGGATCAAAGCAAACTGCATTCGATTTTGCTTGGTCGAAACTAACGCTTCTGAAACGTTTGTCCACAATCCCCTTGTATCCTGAGAGTTTTTCTGCTTCTCGCCCGGTGATTGTTCAGTGCCTTAGTTAACTGCCCCACTGCACAAGTAAGTCCTTTATTTGTTTCGTTTAGTTTGACTTTTTGAAGGGTGCTCACGCCCCAGTTTGTTTGCCGCCAATTTGACTTCCTCATTCCGGTGCGAACAGCTTTTCCTCTTGATGTTCATAGGCATGGCGGCTTCACTCACGTTGCCCATTTGTTTGTACCCTCACTCTACTCCCACCCCATCTAGCTCACTAATGTCGAAGAAAACGTCATCCTAGACCCGGTTATTGATCGCGCCTGTCATAACATATTGCGTGAAAAATGCGCTGGCTTGGAAAACGCTGGTCACAGTGCCCTCTTTGAGTGTTTATCGGAGAATCAGTACCATCCCAGTATGACCAGTAGTTGCCGTAGACATCTTCTGGAACTGCTCTACTTCGTCACGCGCGATTTGACGTTGGACGATCACCTGCATCGGTCAGTACCCTATTTTTTGACACGTTTATTTTGAATGGATGGATCAAGCGTGAACAGATTTATTTACCAACTTTCTTCCGTCAAAACAGAATAGGGAGAGGCGAATGCAGCAAGGTTAAATGTAATGAAACCATATGATCAGGCGATTGGCAGTTTGTTGTCCCAGTAACACCTTACGTTTTTGAACCGGTTAGTCAGCTATTAATTGTGTCCCACAAGCCGCTACGTTTCTTCACCGACATCGAAAAATGAGGACAAGAGTGTTTCGCACTGGAGGGGATGACGCAAGGAGTTTAGTGGTGTTGCACTGTTCTGAAGAAATTGGAAAGGTAGCATCTTATGCTATGGCTTTGATACAGGAGCACCCTTATCTGTAAGACTGGGTCACGTCTATCAGTGTCACTAACTGTGGGCGTGTCAAGTCCCGGATACCTATTTAGGGAGACGGCTGTTGTCGCCAGATCATAGACTGTCCAATTTTTTTCATTCATCAAAGGGCCAGACAGACAGTCTTCTGGCATGCAAATTACGTGGTTTACCTAACATAACCAATGAAGTGTGAATACCTCGTCTATCGCGACAGTCTTCTCCCTAAAACCTGTGAAATATATCAAAATTACTTATCCGATATTCCCATAAGACTTGGGCAGTGCTTAGGTGAACAATGCTCAGATGCGGGGGGTTTTCGTGTGTATTCTGCTCGTTCCCTTAGATTAATGTGGCTGTTTCGTACCTGGCGCATTCCTCGCGAATCGATACTAACCCGGACAACAGCGGCCAGTTGTTCATATACAACTATGAACGGGCGAATCCAATGACACGCGAATAAATTGGTGGAAGGTCGAGGAGGTTTTCAGCTTCGTTAGATGATTGAAATTGCCTGTCTTTCGAGGAGAGTGACAGCCTCCAGAATAACATCGATGTTCAGTTAAACTGATTGTTGATATCCAATTTAGAAAAGAAATTGTTTACCGTGTTCTCTGTTCTTTCCGGACGGACGGTCAACCAAGAGTCATACTGGGGGTCCTGCACATAGGTTTTAATTGGACTAACTGGAAGCGTTCAGTATTATATACCATGCGCGTGGGTTTTATGATAGATATCATTTTGTGAAGCCCGCAAATGAGTATTCGGGATGAACGCGCTGACAACAGGCCGATTTCACTCTTTGAAAAGTTACCTAAGTTTCTGTGACAAGGCGACCAGACATGAGGGGAATTGGTGATCCTGCTGCGTGTAAACACTTCGTATTTCAAACCATTCCTGGGAAGTGTGTGTAATTAAAGGCTGCTGTCGCAGTTGGTTGACAGTTCATTACTCTTTGGGGAATCGTAATTTATTGAGTGCATACAAACACAGAATTGTCTTAAACTTCATTGGGCAGTGAAGCCACAGAGTATCCTACTTCAGCTCGAATCTTTTAGTAAACAACGTAACGGGATGACATAGGCCGAAGATGTGACTTGTTGACTGACAAAGGATTTGTTTGGTAAATTGTGTGATATCACTACATGTAACTTTTCAAGAGCTCCGGTCTTGTTGGTTTTCTGCAGGTTTGGAAAAGATTTTGGTTGAAACTACCGATTCAGTCGTACCTGTCTACGAAGAAAGCTTCTATGGAAGCACTATTACTTCAGAACTCGTCTTTTACTCGAATTTATGCAGTCTGTCGCTTTTAGAAAAACCTATGGGTCTGGTTCTTCAGAAGTTTCGATGAAAAATGAGTTTGTAACGTTTTTTAAATGCTTATTATAGTAGCATTCTGTTTCAGTGTTAAGTAATGGCATCAAACAGCTTCGCAGCTGTAGATCAACATCACCCTGAGAGCATACGTTCAGCAGTTCAAGCTACCTTCAGTCAGACGGTGGTGGAAACAGTACCAAGGAGACCCCGCAAAGTATGGACATGTCTTAAGATTAGAGGATCGAGACCTACAACACTGCCTTTATTCATCTTCATGGAAGCTTGATTGATGCGCTAAAACTATTTGAATTCCTTTGCCCAACTGCGTTTCTTGTGTTTTTCTGAGCTCCCTTTGGACTCTTTACTGTTTCGGACCTAGCTCCGATTCCTCGAAAAAGTAGGCCGTGGGAAAAACCCTTTGTCAGCAGTCATAGGGACTTGTTCAAATCGACAGCAGATCTGTTGAGTCGCAGTCGATTCGCCATACGTTCTAGTGCTTGTCAACTTTATTCGTGCATCGTCTTGTTTCTTGGGAAATTTGGTTTTCCAACAAGACCCTGGTTTGTGTTTGTTACATTCTCACTCATGCATTCCCTTTATTTGCACCAAAAATCGGTAACCAACTAAAGAAAACCGTTGGTTGTAGTAACGTGTTGTGTATGTGTTTGAAGTACAACGTCTGTTCTTTGAAACTAGTGGAGAAAACACTCGCTAGTTTTCCGACGAGTTACATCCTTTCAGGATGAGTAAAATTGTGCCCTCGTAAAGGTTTATTCCTCTTGCGGGTTACATTAGCAGGTTAGAAATAGCGACGCAAGTTTCTCTATTTACTACTTGTGTGAGTAGTTTTCGTTTCGCGTCAGCAAAGCTCGAGAGAGGGGTGATCCTTCGCGGTATAACCAATGGGGCATCTGCTCTAGAAAGTCAACTGGAAATTCCTTCTCGCATTAAGTTACTTATTTACCATTCTTTCAAGTTTATTTTTCAAATGCCTGTGAGTGCATGTTTATTGGAACCTGTCTTCTGCTAGCAGTTGATGATGGCAGCGATGCACCAGTGCTGCCACCAATCATACACTGTCACTGCTAACGGGTGGTCGCTCCAGAAATGTTTTGTATAAGGAGCTTTCAATGTACAGCACCGTTCAACAGCTGGCAGCTGTTTTATTCTGGATCTACATCATTTCATCTTCCATTTGTCCTCTTCGTGAAACAAACCATTTTTCTCTGTAGCGCCTGCGCTGAAGACAGCCTGAAACTGTGCGGTTTTCCTAAAGCTACTCTATCGGAGTACAACAGCGCCGATGCTCAGTTGCTCACGTGCCTGTACAACCATCGGCGAACTGTAGGAACGGCAAGTTCTCCCTCAACACCTGTGCTTTCTGAGGCATGCAATGTTCAAGTCATGCGTATCGTCCACATCAGGGCCTCAGCGGTCTCATTAGACCCCCGGGTGTTCCAAGTTTGTCTGTCGGACCTTTCACAGTGCCCGGAAGAAGATGATTTTGAAGAGGAGGATGAGGATGTGGAGGATTCTGGGGATTCCGACACTCGCGAGAGCACCCCGTCCAAACATGGAGAACCCCTCAAGACACATAGGAAAGGAAGTACTGGCCTTGCTTGCCTACAAGAACGACTCGATAAACTACATGTAAGTCGGTTGTATGTGAAACGATAAGTCGGTGGTGGCTGATACCAGGTTATATTAGTTGGATATAATAGCGGTCGCTTAGTCATGAATGTTTAAGTTTCTCCGTAGCATTCCCCCCCCCAAGTTTTTGAATCAAGGTGCGGCAAATTCGATGAGTGCCCATTGATGGCACTTCTGTCCACCATATTTTTTCATTCATTCACTGTCATGCAGGATTCTTACTATCGTGTGGATTTTGTACATCTGTATTATCTTTCTATCAGTCGAATTGAGACGATAGGTAATTACAGTTGCAACAGTTTTGTATCACAC